ACGTTTGTTTCTGGATATACAAAACGACTTAGTTAGTCATTACATGTTTATTTATGGTGACTTTTAGTTCTAAAAAAAAATTGTTTATGACATTAAGTTATGGCAAATTTTTATTTATAGTATTTTTCGTATTAGATTATGTGAGGCCCCAATTTAAGTTTCGCACAGGGCCCTCAAAATCTCAGGGACGGCCCTGGGCAGGCCTTCCTCTGATCCCACAACTCGAGAGAGTTGCGACCAGTGGGAGCTCTTAGCCCATGCATTAATGACCCTGGTTTCTGAGGTATATGTCTTAATAATTTATTAGTTTCATCATGGCTATTTTACTTGATTAACATAATATGTTATATATTTATATGCATATGGGTGCAGGGTCTTATTGAAGAGGAAAAGGTTGATGCCTTCAACATTCCCTATTATGCCCCATGTGCAGAGGAATTGAAATTGGTGGTACAGAAAGAAGGGTCATTCGTAATGGACTGTGTGGAGGCGTTTGAAATTGATTGGGATGCTGGTGGTAGTTTATCTGATGACATGGTGGCTAGTGGGCAGCAAGGTCTTAAATATCGGAGGTATCGGAAATATCGCAGGAAATATCGGGATATTATCGGTATCGGAAAAAATTGAATAAAAACCACGGAAATTGTAAGAAAAACTTGAAAAATTTTATTGAAACTTTACAGGATATTTATTTAGTCAATTATCTATTAGTTTATCACAAAAAATTGGAAGGAAATGCATTGCATGATGGATTTAACTGATTTAAGTTGATTATATAGCGAGCTGGCAAACACCGTAAGTGTAGAAAATATGTAATAATTAATGAAAGAAGATTAAACACACCATAATCATTTATATATAATGAATTACTACAATATTTTACACTTTATACATTGCATGGTAAGATACATGAGTGACTTATTACCACATAGAGTTCCTATGAGGATCAAAATTTTCACTATCTTCATCATCTCTATGTGTAGAGTAAGTATATTTGAAGAGTAGTCATCAAATGATAAATCCCCAAAATAGTTTTGCATGTAATTGTTAACATGCCACCCATATGGATCCGAGATTGGTTGACGTTGTCCATAAGCAAAATCATTTGAAGATTGAGTCTCGGATTCTTTTCATGAGTCACTTGATTCCATCCCAACAAGAATGGGATATGAAGGGTAGGGAAATGGTTGGTTATGAGTATAACCATAGTTACTACTTCCTACTCCAACAGAGTCCGAAGTTATAGATAACGAGTCATTGCCCAAATCATTCATAAAAATGTTGAAAATATCTTCCCGATATTATCGGGATAATATTGATATATTGACGATAACACTATGGTTAGTTGTTAAAATATCGGACTCCCAAAAATCAGATATTATCGGGATAATATCGGGGATATTATCGATATTTAATACCTTGGTGGGCAGCGAGTGGCCAAGAGCATAAGAGTCGTCGCTGAGTCAATGCTAGAATCTCATTTCGGAAAAGATATAATGGATCATCTGTTTCGAAAGTACGCAGAGCTCCTGGGGGATCACTTGTCAAAGTTTAGAACCAAGTATACCAGTTTGGTCATTTCAGTCATCAGAAAGCAATGATCTTATTCATGTAATATAAGATAATGGAGAAGTTTAATTTTCTTTTTATTCAGTTCACAGTCATTTTGCGTTACCTTTGGCAAGTCTCTAGAGACATTTTGTGCCTTTCCAATCCAAGGCATGGGGTGGTGGGGTTACTTTTGTCAGCATCAACCACTCGGGCGCCTTCTATGGCAGCGCACCATGATAACGTTTTAGTGCCAAAGTGATAGTAATGATGGCCAAGGCTTCTTGTTCAATTTCAATGAATGAAGCATTGAAGCTCATCTCAAAAATTTCGAAAATTAATAATTACAAAGATAGCCATAAAGGCCTGTCGGCCAAAACACAAACTCAATTTTCCTCCACCGTAGATGTCTTTCTTTCAATGTTCTTCAAATTTTTGCACAACAAAATTTTCATATCATTCTACTACCAACCCAACCTGCAGAGCAAAATTTTGTAGCTGCAGGAAAAATATGCCTTCCATTTTGCCTTATCAGGAAGCTTATAGTTTTGGTTGTTACGCTGTCATAGTAGTATTAGGAGCCTTGTCATGTCTGATTTATCATATTATCAAGTCTAAGAATCAAGAATCAACGGCTGATATTCCTCCAGGCAGTCAAGGATTGCCGTTGATTGGAGAGACCCTACAGTTCATGGCTGCCATTAACAGTGGCAAAGGGTTTTATGAGTTTGTCCGACTTCGCCGTCTCCGGTAACACCTCTCTCTCTCTCTCTCCCTCTCTGTTCATGACCTACCCCTTCAACTCTTGAGTCTTTTATAAGTCTCCTCACTGTAACACGGCTAGTTTGTTACTCTGTTTGCTGTGAATGCAGGCACGGAAATTGCTTCCGGACCAACATATTTGGAGAGACAGACGTCTTTGTTTCGAGCACAGAGTCAGCCAAGGCCATCTTAAACAATGACTCGGGGAAATTCAGTAAAAGATACATAAGGTCAATTGGTGAGCTAGTGGGAAATCAAAGCCTGCTCTGTGCTTCTCACCAACACCACAAACTAATTCGTAGCCAACTAACCAATTTGTTCTCCACGAGTTCTTTATCAGTTTTCATCAAACAGTTTGATCAACTCACTGTTGATTCTCTCGGGGGCTGGGAACACAGAAGCACTGTGGTTATACAAGATGAAGCACTTAAGGTAAACAAACATTAAGGATTGCAAGTTCTGGATCGAAGCCCAAAACTTTAATTAATTGTAAAAATAACCCAACAATCAGCTTTTATAACTATATCATGGGCTCAATAAGATTATTGAGCCAAAGCAAACATTCAAAACTTGTTCTGTTTGTGATTCTTATTTAATAAGGTGTTTAATGTAAATTTCATTTTGAGCAGATAACTTGCAAAGCTATGTGCAAGATGTTGATAAGCGTGGAAAGCGGATATGAATTAGAGGTGTTAGAGAGGGAGGTGGCTCATGTTTGTGAAGCAATGCTTGCATTACCTCTCAGGTTACCCGGGACTCGGTTTTACAAAGGCCTTCAGGTAAATAACTCTTCAAAATTAAAGCATAAGAGCTCATAGATGGGATTGTAGGCTCAAAAACTAACCTTTGTCAAGTATGATCATTTCATTTAGGCCAGAAATAAAATCATGGCCATAATTGGGAAGTCAATGAGTGAAAGGAGAAGAGGGTTACAAGCGAATGGTGAAGATTTTCTACAACGGCTTTTGGATGAGGATGATAAAGCATGCAACGGAGCAACCACTAATGGCGGTGGGCTAACAGATGAGGAGATCCAAGATAATATATTAACCATGATTATTGCAGGTCAGGATACAACAGCCAGTGCAATGACATGGATGGTCAAATTCTTAGATGAAAACCCAGAGGTCCTTGACACTCTTCTAGTAAGGGAAAAAGCATGGAAGTTTTTTGTTCTGTATTTTCTTCTTTTAATTCTTCTGGTTTGAAAACGCTTGTAGACTGGTAATCTTGTATACTTGTTTATTGTAACAGAGAGAACAACTTGACTTGGCTAGAAAAGTTTCTTCCAAGTCATTTCTGACACTGGAAAGTATTAACGACATGCCGTATGCTTCTAAGGTGGTAAAAGAATCCCTAAGGTTGGCATCCATCGTGCCATGGTTTCCAAGACTAGCTCTCGAGGATTGCGAGATGGAAGGTTCGTTTCATTGAAACATAGTTTATGCGTTTCAATTATTCTATAGCTCACAAAATTGAACTTGATGATTGATTTGTGTTGCTGTTGCTGCAATAGGATTTAAGATCAAGAGAGGGTGGAATGTGAACGTTGATGCTAAATCAGTACACCTTGATCCTACGGTTTACAATGATCCCAACAAGTTCAATCCGTCAAGATTTGACGTGAGCATGAATGCAGCTGGCCTCAAATTCATTCACCTCAATTCTTGTTAAAAGTACATGTCTAAAGATAAGTTGCATAATTCGACTTTGTCTGTCACAAACTGCAGGATGAATCGAAAGTTCCATACAGCTTCTTGGCTTTTGGGATGGGAGGGAGGACATGCCTGGGGATGAATATGGCCAAGGCCATGATGTTAGTCTTTCTCCACCGTCTCATCACTACTTACAGGTCACATGATCTCATTTTCTTCTTTTCTGTCTCATTAAATTACACTGCAAAAAATATATGTCTTTTGCGGCAAAAACATTTGTCGGCAGCACAGAACAATATTCGTCAACCGAAAAAAATTCGTCCGAAAGGTTTATAAAAAAAAAATCGTTGGGAGAGGTCTATCCCAACAACAGCTCGACGGGAGAAGTTATATTACATTGGTTGGGGGAGATTTGGTGAGAGAGCGTTGTTTTTTTCGGGTAGTGATTTAAGGCTACCGTTCATTAGTACTAACAAATGATAGATAGTCGTTGATTGATGAAATTTGAAATCATTCAGGTGGAAGGTGATTAACCCAGATGTCAGCATTGAAAAATGGGGACTTTTCTCAAAACTAAGAAGTGGTTGTCCAGTGACCGTAACGTGTATCACCGAGAATGTTATCCCTTAATATGATATAGATGTAATGTTATATCCATCTTGTCTGCTAGTCCCATGATCTCTGGGAAAAATTTCAAATAATCTAAGACCAAATGTTTTGTTTATTGTAAGAAACAGGCTAAATAAACTCTGGTTTTGGATCAGATGAAGGCAAAGTTTCAATATATCTTATTTTTCAACTTAATTCATGGAACAAAAGCTCACACCCTTTCGAATTGGACAGAAAGAAAACCCTCTAATATAGGGCAAACGACAAGGACCACCAAATTTGACTCTAGAACTTGTACCCAAAAAATTGACTATTGGTAGAATCTCTGATCTGTCTTCCATTTTGGGATTTTTTTGATAAAAACAAACTGGCCATGCTTGAGATCATTAACTAAAAGACTACAAGTATACATCAACTTGGTCTAACTCAATAAAAAAGACTCTTAGTTTTTAGACTACATGTCCAAGGTTCGAATCCCCACAACATTATAGTTGTGTATGTGCAAGAGAAATCTCTCTCTCCTATAATTTAGACTATCGCTTATACTTATAAAAAAAAAAAAAAAAAGAAGACACTGACTAAAACACTCCCCAGGGTAGCCAGTCCTGAAAGCCCTGAGGCCCCTCTGATATTGTACATCCGATTTTCATTTTGTTCCAATAGTAAAAGCCAATGTGCCTTAAACCGCACCAATAAACCCAAATGGATGACACCCTTAACTTATACATCCATATTATAACAAAAATCATTCTGTGGGCTATAAAGGCGTGATAATTTGGTATACCTTTTGTTGGATCTTTTCTCTTTCTTTCTATTTCACTCATTGCCCTTCTAAAAAAGTTTCTTGTTCATTTCCCTCATGAGATTTTTTTAACATATTATTCTATAAAATAAAACGACATGAATTGTTGTAGGTCATTTCAAACACAATGGAAAAGTTATAGAAACAGTGGAATTATTACGTATTATTTTAGTTTTAAAATCCATGGATAGAGACAATCCACTTCCCACTAACAAATCAACTTTCTTCTCACTTATTCTCTCTTTCTCTCTAACATTCTCAATCGCTTCTCCCTCTCTCTGTTTTCTACAAGTAGTTTTCAATAATTTCATATGTACGTATTGTTCAAATAATAACAAACGCAATAAAGAAAAAAGAAAATAAAATTATTATATTGTTGTTCCCTCTCTCCTTCTCCTTCCCCTGCCCTTGGGTTGGGTGATTAATGGGGCCCGCCATGAATGGCGGGAGTATACTTCTTCATTGCTCTGCTTTAATAAAAGAATACAAATTTGTTTAAAATTCAGACAATGACATTGAAAGTCATTAAACTAATTATTTGTCATTCAACTAAGCATAAGCTAATAAAAACAATTTATATTGATGATCTGTAACATTGACACAACTTGGCATAAAGACTCGGCATTTTGGTATATTTCTTAAACCCAATTGTTAATTAGGTGGGGCTAAATTCGTTGTTTTAAGTATGATTTGTTGCATTTTCAGGTTGCAACATGGATTATATTTCTTCTCTTTAGGACGCATTCCAGTGTTTATGATGTTGACTTAAACGCCAATCCAATGCCTCTGCGGCTCTGCCTCTCCATTTGTTTAAAGAATAAAGCACCCTTTAATTGTCAGTTGTCACCAACTTAAAACGCAATCTAGTGTGTGCTCTTTTTCTAATTAAAGCCCTCAATTTATTTGCGATACCAACTATTTGTTGTGAGTATTTGTCTCACATTGAAAAATTAAGGGATCTAGTCTCGGTTTATAAGGAGTTGGGTTACTTCCCCCATTACCAATTGATTTTGGGGTGAAAGGAACCTCAATTTCCTTTATGGTATAAGAACAAGGCTTCCCGTTAACGGCCACACATGCAGAGACGTGTTGAGAGTGTTGAAGATGAACCCTAACCACAGACCCAAGATTTGAGAAAAGAAAAAAAACTGAGTTAATTCAAACAACTATATATATTATATCCATTACAAAATGTTGATGGACCAGCTGAGTTATTGTTATATTATTGCTCAAATTTATACACAGACAGCTACAAGATATTTAGACCAAACGAGAGAAAGAAAAAAGAAGACAATAATATTTTATACAACGAACATTATCGGTTTCAGATCAATAAAGTTGGACTTTTAACGTTTTTGTTGCTGTTCCTAAAATAAAAGATGAATGCATACATACGTGGACGTGCCCTGTGTTCCATCATATTGTTTTAATTTCAAGGATTTCTTCTTGTCGAATTTAGTTCATAGATAGATAGGCTCACAAGGCTAATGCCATCACTGTACGGATGGAGTGGGTTTGGGTTGGCCAAACAAAATAATTGAAATATATATATATATATATATATATAGCACCACGAGTGTAGGGGGTGGTGGTAGAGGGTAGACTGCTAGTGCCCAGCGAATAATAAACAAGTAGTAGTTAAAAGAAAGTCTCAAAAGAGAAGAAAAATTGGTAGTATGTGTGCGCTAATAAACAAGAAAAGGCGTTTACAGCTTTTGGCTTAATGTTTTTTGGGCAGAATGCAAATATCAAGTGGATGAGAGCAACCTGCTTCATTGTAAAGAAGTCCCTCCTCCTAAGTCCTAACAAATATGAGAACACAACTCCACATCCAAAGTTCAATCATTTTGTGCAACCACCGCTAAATAACAAAGCCCTCCCTTTTCTTATTTTCTTCAATGAGAGACCCAAATGGAAGACATGGGGCAATTACCCATCAATAGTTTAATTCTATACAATGCATAAAAGTCGACAAGAAAAAGCGACTTTTTCTTCCAGAAGAAGATCTCATCCCTTTGAATTTGAGGTCCCCTAAAGAATTGAATGGTAAATCATCTTCTGTATTATTGGCTGATTATTGATTGATTGATGCCATCATGCTCTTGGAAAAGTCATGGAATTGGGACTTCAAACATATATGCATGGTCGTTAAACCAATTATGCACGGTGCTTCTTCCCTTGAATCACTGCCATTAATTGGTAGCAAATACGGTTGTTTTGGTATTTTTTTCAATTAGACCTGTTGTTAAAGATAATGTGTCCGCCTCCTTACACTTCCTCCCTCCCCGTACATAGAAGAGTAATTAGATTGCTTTGTCAAAGACTGTGGATAAGAAGCCACAAGGCATGCAGAAGAGTTGACTGTTCCCTTAGTTTTGGTGAAGCAAATACCAATCGTACATTCCAAGCATGCGGGAAAAAATGACAAAACCTCCCTCAGGATAATTGCTAGCTTTTAGCATAACTTTGACACCCGACCATGCACATAAAGCAAATACCAAATATTTGACCCCAAAAACAAAAGCATATGCCAAATGCCAACACAACACAAGTAGATCATCACACCACCCAATCCAAAGGGATCTCCAAGTGCCCCATTTTTTGTTGGGAGTTTCACTAAAATACCCAAATGAGAGCTGAAATTATAAAAATACCCAACACCCAAAATACTTTATAAACATACCCAAAACTCATCATTACACACACTCAAAACCCATATGGGAGCTGAAATTATAAAAATACCCAACACCTAAAACACTTTATAAACATACCCAAAACTCATCATTACACACACTCAAAACCCATTTATAAACATACCCAAAACTCATCATTACACACACTCAAAACCCATTTATAAACATACCCAAAACCCATCATTACACACATAACCAAAGCCCATTTTGGGTATGTTTCTATGTTTAAATAGTGCTTGGGTATTTTTATAAATACATATCTAGGATTGGGTATTTTTATAAATATCTATTTTTTGTTTCTTAATAATATTATTAGGTACTCTGTTTCTGATCAAAACACATCTGTGTATCAACTTGGCTAATCAAAACTGACCAAACCTTGGGTATTTTTATAAATACATGTCTAGGATTGGGTATTTTTATAAATATCTATTTTTGGTTTCTTAATAATATTATTAGGTACTCTGTTTCTGATCAAAACACATCTGTGTATCAACTTGGCTAATCAAAACTGACCAAATTGGACCCATGTAGCGCACGTATAGCAAAACCTGGATTACCAATTGTTTGTCCTAAAAAAGTTAGAATCTGAGAGTAGAAGAAAAAGCAAATAGGTCATCCTTTGGCAGAAAGGAGTTTGGAACTATTCATTCATATTTTGTTGTTGTTGATACAATCGATATCGGAAAAAGGGATCAAACTTAGGATCACGAGTGCATGGATAAATAGATATTTTTAATCAACAAATTCTTTGTGGAATCATTCATTCATATTATAATTATATAATAGAAAAGGAAAAAAAAGAAGATAAATTCTGAAATTGCAAATGAACAGAGAACTGCACATGAGTGTTTGTATGTCAAAAAGCCAAACTCGATCAGATTTTATTTACTTGTAAATCGTTGAGATTGGAGACAATAATAATCTGCAGGGTAGTGAAATACTAATTCGTACTCAAATCACCTCATCCTAGTTAACAAAGGAGCATCAGTTAATTAATTACTGATGATAAATAACTTAACTAGATAAAACAGCCATGTTGATGTTGCCCTCTCTTCTTCTTCTTCGTTCTTCTGCCTCTCTCCTGCTCTCTTCTATCTGACTCTTCTTCATGTTATTAATGAATTCTTCTGATAAACTATTGATATACTCGGTTTTTCTTCCTTCTTCTTCTTCTTCTTCTTTCCTACGCTTTTCGCTCTCCATCTCTTCCTCGCGCTGATTTCTCTTGTTTTCATCAATGAACTTCTGTATTCTAAGGTTGAATTCCTCGTCGTTCAACACCTCCACAGAGCTCCATCGCCTCGTCGACTCTTCCCTGCAACTCATCTTTTTCCGGTGAATCTGTGTCTCAGATCGCTGCATAACTCTTTCACTACTCTCAGACCCGCACATTCTCTTATTGTCGAAACTCCCCGATTGAGTCCTCCGGTACCGCTTCTCCTTCTCCACCAAAGTAATTGCAGCAACCGGAGGGACACAACTGCTTTTCCTTTCAGTAACCGGTTCCTGGCTATCAACTGAAGGAGATAGCGCTACCGCATTCTCATCAGACGATGCCATTTGTTTCTCAACCGCCAACAACACCTCCTCCACCGTCGTCTCTGTTTCTGGACACTCCCCTGAGTCAACGACGATGCTCCGGCAATTCGCCTTCGTCTCTGTTTCCGGATGAACTCCTTCACCGAGGAAGGTGCTCCGGCAATTCGCCTTCGTCTCTGTTTCCGGATACACTCCCTCACCGAGGACGACACTCTGGCAATACACGCTGTTGACGCCGAACTCGTTGTAGAAATCGAGTGATCGAGCGTAGTCGTCGTCATCGTCGGCGTCGTTTCGGCGGTACAAAGCGGAAATTGAGACAAGGAGCACCAAGACGAGCGATAAAACATAGAAGCGGTTATAGAAGACCACATGGAGTTCGCGGGAAACGTCGCCGAAGAAATGTGCTGCGGCCGGAAGCAGCATGGAGGAGCGGGATAGGGTGAAGAAGAGAGGCGCGAGAGCGACGCACGCCGTCAGAACCGACTTGACGTTTTGGTGGCGGTGGTACTTCTTCAAGGCAATGGCTTTCTCCGCCGTCACGTTGTAAAAAGTTTGGTGGTGTGAATCCATGGCTTGGCTTCCAGATGACAAAGGAAATTGAAGTGTGGAGGATTTTTGGGTGTTTTGTGAACGGATGCGACGAAAATAAATCGCATAGAGATGTTGTATTTATAGGGGAGTTTTGGGGGTGGGTTGAGAAATAATTCAGGCAAGGAATTAAGGGACGGAGAGAATGGAAGATTTTCCGGGAAATCAGAGCAAGAAGAAGAAAGAATTGGAGTGTCAGAGAATCAAATATTCTGTATGATGTGTACTTGTGTTTTTCTATTGGACTGTGTAAAAATTGTGAGAGGGAAACATGGACATTGAGACTGATATGTTGCCGTTTTTATAAAGCTCCTCCTCTTAATTATAATCATTTCATGCGCTTTTTCCTATTTTATTTTGGGTTCAAAAATTGCCAAACTCTGCTTTTGTGGATAAAAAAACAGGGAGAGCAAGTAAATAGTGTTTCGTGTATAGAATAAGAATAATAATTATGTACAGCGGACCCCACATAGTATTTTCTGTGAAGAGTAAGGGGGTAAAGTAGACTCGTAGTAGAGAGTCTAGAGACCCAACCCAACCACGACTGGGACCCAGCGGAAGCACACATGGCCCATGGACCAGTAGTAGAGTATACCAATGGCTTCCCACGTAGCATTTTTTTCAAAAAGAATTATGTATGTATATTTTTCCAATGGTTTGGTCATTACTCATGAATGATGATGCATTGGTTAATACCTTTGTGTTCCCCTCCGATTATGTTATGCTAATATTAATTAATTAATATATTAGTCTAACTTGATAAAAAGAAATAACAATAATGATATGTAGTCTAATAATGTTATGTTATAAATAAAAAAACAACTACCGACTTGGAAAAATATACTTTATGAACTTGTACGAACATTTTTTACTCATTCATTCACCATCCACAACCAAAAAGAGTAAACAAAATTGGGGGACAAGACAAACCAGTAGGGTAGGTGGAGGGAGACGAAGAAACTCATGAAAGGGTTTTTAATTTTGTTTTTGGTAAGAAGCTCATGAAACATTGACGGATGCAAATAAAAGAACAAGTACTCCGGAATTCAGAGAGTTATTTTAGCCCAAGTCATTGTAGCCATTTCACGTGACCCTCTCCCATCATTCTAATTCCTTTTTTCACATTTATGGGTCACGCCAAATGGTCAAGGGAGTGAGCATATTCTTTTGCACTCAATTTCAAATTCATCTTTCTATATATATAACTCTCCGATTTGATATCGAAATTCCGACCTCCCCTGTGTGACTGTGTCCCTGTCACCTAAGCCACCAATCATTATCTGATGCATGGTCATCTTTCCTGCCCTAAAAAATTAGAAAGGAGAATTTAGAAATCACATGATGCTATGAACTAGTTAGTTCATGGTTGGTGTAATTAGCTAATTAATTTCTACCATCGCTTTAGTTTAGACTATCATGAATAATGTGGCAATTCAGTTGGTTGGTTGAAGACTTGTTGAATTAGCGCACTTTAACCAAATTCCACGGGACGCAACACTCCATGGCAAAATGGTTGCTATGCTTTTATCAAATTTTTCGTGATTAAATATTGGCACATGAACTTTCAAGAAAAAGGCCTAGATAAAAAGAGGCACTCGAGAAGTGGGTAGCAATTTCTCTTCATCTTTTTCCTTTTCCGGTTGAGACTCATATGTCTCTTCATTCATGGGTGATGCGTCTTCTTTTTGTTGCTTTGGTCAGTGGCCTTTTAAATACAAGTATTTTTTTGACCAAATAAAAAACAACTACAGTGAATTCCGCTGTAAGTTTGTAACGGGCCCCAAGAGAAGCAATAGAGTGAGTACAAGGCCTCTCCCGCCGTAGATGGCTAAACATATCCCACTCATAAAATTTAACTCACTATTTATAGTTTTTTAAAGAACAACGATGGGCTATATTTTTACCGTATTTAGTAGTCCATGGCTAAATCATAATCCCCTCAATATTCTATTAATTTTTAGTATATTTTTTAAATATATTGGTTAATTTAATTAAACTACTACTTAGACCCTATTTAAATTACATTTTAGATTAGGGGGACAATTTTTGTATAAAAGAAAGGAATGATAATATGTAAAGGATGAAAAAATTGTGGAAAATTAGGTAGAATGATGAAAAGAGTAAAGATGGTATGTAAAAGGAATGATGAAAAGAAGGTGGGAAATTAGAAGGAATGATGAAAAGAATTTGGGAAATTGTGTAGAAATGAGGTAGAAATTTTTTTAAAATTAAAATTTTGGATTTTTTAGAAATAAATAATAATAACGGCTAGTTAACATCAGCAGACCGAAAATAGCCCACCCATGAATTAGGTTAAGTTTGGCTCAACACTTGGCCTCTTCTGCCTGCTAATTGGATTTGGCCCACTACTGAAGATCGCCTGAGGCTCATATCTTTCCCAATAAAGAACTCTCAAAAGCCTAAAATCTTTTAGTTGCCATTTTATATCACAATGCTGCTGGTACTCTTTCACATATCATGTCGTGATTATTCAAAGTTGGAGTGGCTAAGTTGTCAAAAATCAAGGCAAGTCCCTTGGATTAGATACATAGCAAAAACAATGACGAACAGTATTTGAATTCAAGCAGATGCAGCCGAATTTGTCACGCATGCCTGGTCATATATTATTCCTTTCTTTCGTAAACTTGTGTCTGTTTTGGGGTGTGTGTGATATGATTCATGCTCAAATTCTTACTATGTTAGCATTTGTTTTCGACTCGTGAGATGCAGAAGTAGCAATGGTGGAAGCAAGAATCTGTCAAAGGCGTAGTAAAACATGGTCAGGGTTTTGTGGGAACACTGGAAACTGCAACCGTCAATGCAGGAACTGGGAAGGTGCTTTGCGTGGAGCTTGTCACGCTCAATTCCCAGGGTTTGCATGCTTCTGCTACTTTAGATGTTGATTCGTGATCAACCACAGCAGCAGTCAGCAGCATCTCGAACCTCAAGCTTTCTTATATATCCAGTTATATATACAAAGAAACGCTAGAGTGAGCCTAGTTTCCACTAAATAAGTCAGCCACGACACTGGTCAGCTGAAAACAACATCCTCAATGTAACTTTTTGCTGCACTTTGTTAAAAAAAATAAGCACAGCACTGCTACTACTACTACTTCTGTTTGGTTCCCTGCTTTAACTGTAGATAACCTGTAACTTAAAGGAATTCATGGCGGAAAAGAAAAGGGGAACAAAAAAAACATCAATGCTTTGAATCCAACAAAGACATGAAAAGGAGAAGAAAAAACAGCACTGCTGTGAGATCTCCAGTACAACATGAGCTCCCGAATCGAAGGAATCGGGTTCCAAGTTTTAATTTAGAGGCTAATATCATCATCTTCTTAACAATATTCACGGGTACAAGATTTCTCTTCCCCGTTGAACCAAACAAAACCATCAACAGACGTCACTAAAACCGCCCGGGAATCAAATATTCTGATATTCATCAAGGGCCCTAATGTATTCTAAGCTTAACCTCAGCACCATCTCAAAGTCCCATCAATGTACCAGTTATATCTATACTGTACACTCTGATTAAAAAGACCTTGCTATATATTCTCCTTTTCTGAACTTAAGTCATCCATACACTATACACAGGGGAAACTAGCATTCTTTACACAGATTCAAGCTTAGTTTAGCTTTCAACTTGGAAATGGTGCGTGAGACCCCAAAACAATGAATTATATTCTCATCAATACACCACTCCACAATGCAAGTAAATAGTAAACTAAGACAGATATTAACATAACAAGCGCAGAATAGGCATTGAATTCTACTCCATTTTCATAAAAACACATGCTTTCAAGCTTCAATTTGTTAAATTTACCTACAAGCTTACTTGGAAGAAGCAATCAAAGCATTCTTTCTACTTCTTCTTGCCCCCTTTACCAGCAGCGGCTTTGCGCCTAGAGGGCAGAATAATCTCTCCCTTGAGCACGGGGATCTCCATGATCTGAGTGAGCTCTCCGTACTTCTTCCTGAACTTCTCTACCTGGTCGTCGTCGACGAGCATGCCCGACCGGTTTCCGAGGTAGAAGGGGTGGTTGCCCGACCACACGTCCACCACGTACTCCTTCTGGGTCCCACCGGTCGTCATCACCAGCTCCCCCTTGCAGTACACCTTCGCGTCCTCGTGAAACTGCGGGTGTATCTCCTTCTTCCTGCACGTCACTACAGGCCGGCAATTCCCCAGCCCACCACCACCACAAACCTGGAAATACAAAAATTAAATTCGTAAAGCCTAGGTTGCTGAATGAAATGAATTCAATCTGGGAAATTTGGTAATTTTACCTTCTTGGGAGGAAGGACTGGGGGGCAGGGTCTTCCTTGGAGGAATGTGTTGGTTAAATTGAGCGCCATTTCTGTGTGTTGTAGAAAGAGAAGCGAAACGACGGAGCGGATGATGCAGTGTGATGACTGATGAATTGAAGATGAGGTTTATGTGGTTCCACCCAAGTAAGTTACTGAATTACCCCTACAATTGAAGATGAGCCATTATAGGCTCGCTTTGTCATTTTCTGTTTTATTAAGGATTGGGCCTTTTTAGGGGAAGTAAATTGGGATTGACCTTTGCTGTGGAACTGAATTAGGATTGGGCCTTCAAACCCAATAGGAGAGATTTTTTGGGTTTTTATTATTATCATTATTATTATATATGTTCATGTTGGTGGGTCTGCTCTGCTCTGCACTATTTAATTCAACTTTCAATCAAATACTTTGAAAACAAGCGGTCCCATCTCATGCGAAATTTGTGGCGCACTTGTTTCCAATATTCAGTGATGAATGATTCCTTACGGGAAATTGAATGTTTGGTGTGCATTGCAGCCTCTGATTGATTCTTTTTAGTAACTCTATAATACAAAGAAAATGGAGTTTCTCACACACAAATACTATTACACTATTACAGTGCTATGTGATTTCGAACCTAAAATCACTAGTATGCAAATTAATGTCGTTTTTACTACATTTATAAATGAAGAAGACACACACGATGTCGTAGTCAAACCGCAAACTACTAGCCTGCATACCAACCGTTCTACCAGTGAGTTAAGACCTCATTGGCAGCCTCTAATTGATATTTATTTGATGTCAATTTGGTACTCCTAATGATATCACGTGCCACCATCTGATTGAAGGATTTGATTTGAAGATGTGTTCACAATTGAATTGATTGACAAACTACAAATCCAAAACAAAAGCCTGAAAAATGCCTCGTGAGTGAGGCAATAATGTCATGGCAAGTACTAAGTAGAAGCAGGCAAAGGCAGGTGTCTCGTTTTCATTACCCCCGCGCAATTCTATACCAATTTTTCTTATAGAAGCAGGCAGGCAAGGCAGGTGTCTCGTTCTAGAAAAAGAGCTTAACCTTCTTCTTCTTCTTTGTTTATTTTTCCGACATAAAAGAAAATGTCACTAATCAAGACAAGAGGAATTTGCTATGAGATTTCAATTCAAGGGTAGAAGAATGAATACAACCGTGAATTTGGACATACGATATTACGTTATGTCTTTCTCCATTCCAAGGTAGGCACTAGGAATGGTCATGTTCACTTTTGGTTTCATATATTTGACCGACCAATGAAAGATATTTTATGAGATATCGCATCATATCCACCGTTGGATTCGGTGAGTGGTGGTGGCCATGTATCTCTCCGCGGTACACAATCCCCCATATGTATAATCTGTATCGTCCCTTTCAACACTTTACACGACACCTCCCTTTAAGCTATCGACGGTCCACATCGCTACTCACGTTTCAACCTTCCTATAAACAATAGTACAGTATTTATATACTCATTTCTGTTTTTCTTTTTCTTTTTTGTTTTTGTTTTCTTGTTTGGAAAAACGTGGCGGGACAGACAAAAACTGCCAACATATATTTTTAGAAGATGATGAGAATGGCCAGACATATTGTTCAAAATGATTAACAATGGTGCTACTACTACATAAATTGTCATCCACCAAACTGGGGTAATTTTTTTAATGCCGCATTCTATTTTTTTTAAATGATTTCAAGTTTAGAATTTCTTCCTACATTGAAAAAAGTTCAATTAAATTAAAGAAATGCAAGTCTTTATCAAATAATAAAAGCCACCTTGACATGTAAATGATGTAGGCTTTGCATACTAAATAAGATTTTATTTATTTATTTTGGAATATAAGCAATAGTCTAGAAAGAAGAAGGAGTTCCTCACACACACTATTATATATATGCAAGTTTCTAGTGCAGTCCAGCAGATTGAAGAGATGTTCAGGCTTCCTCTTATTTCTTTCTCTTTTCTTATTTTCCATTGAGTTGTTCCGGCGTGAGTTTTTCTTAAAAAGATCACTCATTTGTTCATGTTTCTCATGTTTGGGTTTTGGATAGTATTGGCTGTTTTCAGTGCTATCTTTTGTACACTTTTATGATGCTTATTATTTTAATAAAGTATCTATTCCAATAATATGCAAGTCAATGTTTTGTTTCATTGGGTTAGACCCATTGGCACACTAAATAAGATTTTAGACAACCCAAAATGTAATTTTAAAAAATGAAACGCAAATGGGGTTGAAATGGAAAGACTTTCGCTCAAGGAAAGGAAGGACCATGGTCTTAAATATCGATAATATCCCCGATATTATCCCGATAATATCTGATTTTTGGGGGTCCGATATTTTAACAACTAACCATATAGTTATCGTCAATATATCGATATTATCCCGATAATATCGGAAAGATATTTTCAACACTTTTATGAATGATTTGGTCAATATATCGAGATATTATCGATAATATCCCGATATGAAACTCAAAAAATGTAGAGAACTGAAGTAGCTCATTGAACTGATTTGGGTACTCTACGGAAAGCATGTCTCCTAGAGTAATACAAAAGTAGCTCATTGAGCTAATAAACAAAGCATGTCTAGCCGACAGAATGCTCACATGCTTTTACAAAATGGATAAAATATAAAACTTAGCTTTGGATTCCTGGCTTGGTTTACAAAATGGATAAAATATAAAACTCACCAACGTTTTTTCAACTTACATTACTTACCCTACCATTCAACCACTCACCTGCTTTTACTTACCCTACCATGGCAGTAGGCGGGCAGGACCAGGAATTGGTGCCATAGGGAAGAACTATACTCGTAGAGAAAGAGGCGAGGGGACATTGTCAAGTCAAGAAGATGACTCGTTATCTATAACTTCGGACTCTGTTGGAGTAGGAAGTAGTAACTATGGTTATACTCATAACCAACCATTTCCCTACCCTTCATATCCCATTCCTGTTGGGATGGAATCAAGTGACACATGGAAAGAATCCGAGACTCAATCTTCAAATGATTTTGCTTATGGACAACGTCAACCAATCTCGGATCCATATGGGTGGCATGTTAACAATTACATGGAAAACTATTTTGGGGATTTATCATTTGATGACTACTCTTCAAAATATACTTACTCTACACATAGAGATGATGAAGATAGTGAAAATTTTGAACCTCATAGGAACTCTATGTGGTACTAAGTCACTCATGTATCTTACCATGCAATGTATAAAGTGTAAAATATTGTAGTAATTCATTATATATAAATGATTATCGTGTGTTTAATCTTCTTTCATTAATTACTACATATTTCTACACTTACGGTGTTTGCCAGCTCGCTATATAATCAACTTAAATCAATTAAATCCATCATGCAATGCATTTCCTTCCAATTTTTTGTGATAAACTAATAGATAATTGACTAAATAAACATCCTACAAAATTTCAATAAAAATTTCCAAGTTTTTCTTACAATTTCCATGGTTTTTATTCAATTTTTTCCGAAGCCTAAACACTCGATCACAGTGGCATTTACTGAGAAGAGAGAATTACTAGTTGGCAACAAAGAAGTGCACACTAATATATGTAAGTCATTAATATTAAGATTTTTTTGTTTTTCCGTGACCGCTCACGCATTCATTCACCAAAATCACCGCCTTCATCATAAGTCACCCTCCTTAATCCGGCATTCACTCTCTTCCACTTGCCATTTTTGGCTCCACCTCAACCACTTTTGATCACCCTCCCATTTCAGCTCTTGGTGGTCATAAACCAAACGTTAGACCAGGGTTGTATTAAAGTTTTCATCTTTTTGGCATCTGGGGTACTTCTGGTTCTTTCTATTTATACAATTTTCTGATCCGGGAATTGCTGATTTTGCCTCTGATCTGGTGGGTGCTTCTTTGTTTTTGTGACGCTGAATGTTTGGGGGGGCTTTTTGTGAAAGTACTTTGCTTTGCTTTTCTGTTACATAAAGGCATAAGGGAAACCATTTTCATATAAGATTCCTCATTTTTGCATTACAGGATATAGAATCTCTGGAAAGCAGTGTGCTTTTTTTAACCATGGATTCTTGCTGTGCGACCATGAGGGCCAATGCCCATCCGCTTAAAGTCGGAAAAGGGGGTCTTAGGAACCAAGGTAGTGGGTTCTGGGGTGAGAGTGTCAGGGTGGGTTCCAAGAGCAGAGATTTGAGTGCTCAGTTGTTGAAAAGCTCTAAATTTGAAAGCACAGCTAGAAAGCTTAAGCCTGGTGTGGCTCACTCTATTCTTACAGATATCAACCAAGACAGTGTGGTAAGTTGATCCGGTGTGCAATTGTTCATATTTGAGTACCCAAAACCTTGGGAGTTTGATGTTGGTATTGAGTAACACTCTTGCATTTTCTCTTTGATTTCAGACATTTCAGGCACCACTTTTTGAGACTCCAAAAGCAGACCCCAAAAATGTGGCTTCTATCATTTTGGGTGGAGGTGCTGGAACTCGCCTGTTTCCTCTCACCAGCCAAAGAGCCAAGCCAGCGGTAAGAGATCACTGTTAGTTCCTGTTTCATCGAAGTTATTCACATTGCAAAATGGTTCCTTAGAAAAGAAAAATGGAAAATTTATGCATTTGGTTGAGTTGGATTTATAATTACAACTTGTACCTAAGAAAGTTTATGATTACAACAGAATCAGGCTATCCAATATTAAGGCACTAATATAAGGAACTGCATAAGATTTGGAGTTGAATTTGACAGTGATGTTTTCTGATTTGTAGGTTCCAATTGGAGGGTGTTACAGGCTGATTGATATCCCGATGAGCAATTGCATTAACAGTGGCATAAAAAAGATATTCATCTTAACACAATTTAACTCTTTTTCCCTCAATCGTCACCTTGCTCGTACTTATAATTTTGGAGATGGTATGAATTTCGGAGATGGATTTGTGGAGGTAAGATTATTTCTGTATACACAAATTATGTTAGACCAGCGTACTGTACATATGATTGGTTATGTTCTTGTGTAGTTCACGATTTGTCTGTTGAACCCATATTGCTTTCTTGTTGCAATTAACAATGAAAAAGTTTAATAATTCAAAGACTAATATATGGAAGCAATAGGTTTTGGCTGCAACTCAAACGCCAGGAGAAGCTGGGAAGAAATGGTTTCAAGGAACAGCTGATGCTGTGAGGCAATTTATATGGGTCTTTGAGGTGGGTGCTTCGATTTTACAACTATTTTTCAAGAATTGGATGGAAATAAGTAAAGTGGCTTTTGGATGATCCGTGCAGGATGCAAAGAACAAAAATGTTGAGCATATACTGATCTTATCCGGTGATCATCTTTACCGGATGGACTATCTGGATTTTGTGCAGGTGATACTTAATGGTGGAATAATTTTTTTTTTTAATACAACAGTTTACAACTCTCTAAAATCCCTCTAACTGATGGCCATTATTCTTACAGAAGCATATTGATACAAATGCCGACATCACAGTTTCATGCATTCCCATGGATGAAAGGTACACATCTTTCCATATTCGTATGCTACTGTTTCAAGGGTCCCTTGAGTATTGGTACATGCTCAATATGTAAATGTGCTGACTACATCCTATTATGCCCTATTTCATGTTTGCATTTGGCAACAGATTCCTGACCTTTTAACTTCTTGCATGTTTTTCACTTGTATAACACTACAAATAAACTCTGCTTCTTTGATTCCACGTTGGGAAAATCACTGACAGATGCTTGTCTTTGTTGTGGATTGATCTTGTCATGCAGACGGGCATCGGATTACGGACTCATGAAAATTGACCAATCAGGACGTATAATCCAATTTGCTGAGAAACCAAAAGGCCCTGACCTAGAAGCAATGGTAATTAAAAATGCTTATTTTGTTCGTATTCAGTGTTTTCCTCCCTTTCCCAGATTTAGTGTTATCAAAGGACTTCATATCTATTTTCATTCCAGCTGATGTACCACAGCGTTCCCCTAAATATTGTTTTTTACACACTGCAGCAAGTTGACACCAGTATTCTAGGGCTTTCTGAGCTGGAGGCTATGAAATCTCCTTATATTGCATCAATGGGTGTTTATGTGTTTAGAACTGATGTCCTACTAAAGTTATTAAGATGGAGCTACCCTTCTTGTAATGATTTCGGCTCTGAGATTATTCCATCAGCTGTGAGGGAACACAATGTCCAGGTGAGTTAGCCCTTCAGACTATAGTTTTTTTCATCTTTATTTTTCCTTTTAGTTTTTCTCTTCCGATATTAATATGGAAATATTTTCTCAAAGTCTGGTTTTGATATGTTAATTTTATTGGCCACTGATTTGGCAATTGAGTCACTAAGTTACATGCTCTTACATGATCAGGCATATCTATTCAATGACTACTGGGAGGATATTGGAACTGTGAAGTCTTTTTTTGATGCAAACTTGGCCCTCACAGAACAGGTTGGTGATACCTCTACTCAATCAATTTTACTGTACTATTATTTCAATCTTTAAGGCACTTGTCATCCCCTGAGCCATTTGGAGTTATATGTGCAAACTGAAGGAAGCCAGAGCTAACAATTTAGTTTGGTTAGCTATTGTGATAATTTGTAGGAAAAAGGAAGAATTAAGAATGTACATGAGTAGGGATGAAGTGACATTGTTCGCAATAGGAGTTAGAACTCTCTCTTCATTCAGGAAATATTGTCATATACTTTGGACTGAAGTTGCTTTTGGTTAACTATAAATGTATTTAGGAGTATGCCAAAACTCCATGGGTTTTTTTTTCTCTTTTATTACTTGAAAATGAGGAAATGGTTTGGCAAACTGATTACATAGTTTCTTTCATGCAGCCTCCAAAGTTTGAATTCAATGATCCAAAGACACCTTTCTACACATCTCCTAGATTCTTGCCACCTACAAAAGTTGAAAAATGCAGGGTATGATTGTAAGCTTAAATTACTTTGTTGCTTAGGCTGTACTTTTGTATCTCATGGAAAATTGAATTGTGCAGATTATAGATGCAATAGTTTCCCATGGTTGCTTCTTGCGAGAATGTAGTGTTCAACACTCTATTGTGGGTGTGCGCTCACGTTTAGAGTCTGGTGTAGAACTTAAGGTGAGCTACCTTTTATACATGCTTTGGTAACATGCTTTTAGATGCCAATATGCCAATTTTGAAGTCATTTTTTATGTTATATTTCAAGTGACAGTTAGATTCATTGATTGTATTGGATAATATTGTACGCTGGGGAATTCACTGGCGACAAAAGTGTATTGGTGTTTCTATGATGCAAATTCATGTGAAAATGGTTTTTAATGATCCCCATACACCCTGCCTTCGAACATATTAGGCAAATGACTGCTTTCTAAAATTACTTCAAGGGATTGCAATTTCACCCCTTGCTTTGTGCACACTTGCACAAGTTTTACCAACTTTTAGTGGGCAAATAATGGTTTGATGCACTGATTATATTTGGTTATGAAAAATCGATTTTCAGGATACTATGATGATGGGTGCAGACTACTACCAAACTGAATCTGAGATTGCATCTCTTGTAGCTCTAGGAAAGGTTCCAGTTGGTGTTGGATCAAATACCAAAATCTGGTGAGATACTATCAGCTATAGACATGCCTATTAAGTTCTGAAAAGAATTCTTGCTCTTTATGCTGATTTTGCATGTAATCTCGCTTGAAGGAATTGCATAATCGACAAGAATGCGAAGATAGGAAGAAACGTAATGATCACAAATGCTGATGTAAGTGCTCCTTTTTTTGAAATTTAAGACTTAAAATTTCATGAAACTTAAAGAACTCTGAATTATTTCTTACTTAAAACATTGCTGGACAAAATGCTTTGACTTGCCAGGGAGTTGAAGAAGCAGACAGGGCAGATGAAGGATTTTATATTCGGTCTGGAATCACAGTCGTACTGAAGAATGCAACTATTAAAGATGGAACTGTCATTTAAATCCATCAATTTTACAAAGGGGTACTTGTTCAGATTGAGCCACAGTGACAGTACCTTGATGAAGCTCGCTCGTAGCTTTAACTTAATGTAGCCGGAACACTTATTTATGTAAATTAACAACTTGCTTTGATGTATGTAACTAAACCTGCTTGTTACTTAATAAAGCTGTATCTTTCATCTATATATCTAGTGAAGTACATTTTGGGATTGTTGCTTAAATACAATTCTCTTTTCTCAGTTTCCTGTATCATTGACCTTGTTCCCAGACCACCATTGAGCCCTTCTAATCTCCCTTGCTCGCTTCCACTTCTCAATGTTTCTCAGCCTGGCATACATCTTCCGAATCTTAATAAGCCTCTGAGACTCCTCAGAAATCAAACTAACTGTTGAGGAGCTCTCACTCAACACAATGCCGTACCCGTCTTGGAAAGAATCCATTCCTTCAGCCAGAAGCTGCCAGAATAAGCCACCAACAGCTGCACCTCCACCCCTAGCCGACGAGTAGATGGCCGAGTAGACTGTGGTGAAAACTCGGTCCCGTTGGTTTGTGGTGTAACCTGACTCTTTCAAAGACCTTCCAAACTCGGCAAAGAGAATTGGCTTCTTGAGGATGTTTTGTGCATCTTGGATATGATCATTCACCCAATTGTTCAAGAAAGAGACTTGGTCTTCATAACTTGACCCAGATAACCTGCGCATCATTCAAAAGAACCCAATTCAGAAAACTCGGTATCTTTTTAAATTAAGTTGTAAAGGAAACTTACTTCATGAAACCTTTACCATTGGTCAGGATATGAGTGAACAGTAGCAAAGTCAATGCCGGGGATCTGATTATTTGCAATAAAATCTGTTCCCACTTGATAGTAATTTGGATTAGTTTGCTGCTTCGATGCTCCATAAAACCCTTCAAGACCAACTTCTAGCAAGTGATTTCCATCTATAGATTTCAAGTAAGATGCCATCTCGGTTATCCAAGCCTGTTAAACAAACAAACGCAAAGCTCAAACATTTCATTTTTCTTCTTTTAATTAATTTATTTGTTTCTATAAATTTCCAGTGTAAGATTTAGGTACAATTCCTTGTGGTGTGTTAAGCTTGTCAAATTGGTGAACTCATGCCTATGCAAGCATGAGGAGCATTACGCACTAGGCTTCTCTTCAATTTAGAAAAAGTTGGGCCTGATTAGCGGGATGGGTAAGCGACCAACTCAAGAAATAAGGTGGGGCGCACTCGAGGTCATGTCCTGTGTCCGAATACCCTATTCCCTAATGTCGCTTGTATTTAAAAAAAATAAAAAATTGTGAGGCGCACCAATGACCATGATACAAATTCTTGGACAAGAAAACGTCCCTAACATCGCTTTTCAAGACTTGTGGAACATAATCAAGTATTAGCCGAAGAGATTAAATGAAAGGAACAAAATTTATAAAATAAAAATTGAAAGAAAGAGATGGTTTCCCAGACCAGACCTGAATGGTTTTTCCTGATGGGTCTGAAGTGCATCTTGGCTCATTCATCAGCTCCCAAGCCATTATGGTTGGTTCATCTTTGTAAGCAACTCCAGTCAGACTGTTTGTCCTCGTAAGTACAGTCTATCACACAAGATCAGAAAACGCCATATTAGTAAAAATTAGTCTGAGATCATCAATCCGAAACTACTACCACGATTTTCAACCTTTCACACCTACTCTTTGCCAAATTGGCAATCAATTAATATAAATTATTTCTCATTATCAAATTAATTATACTAGAAGAGGAAAACCAACCAACTAAAACTGATAACATTTAATCTACAACTGCCAAATAAATTATTAATCTTTATTTACATTCAATTTTATATTCAACCCAACCACTGCTTTCCCAAAAGCAAATACTAATAGTAATAATGACAAAACTAAAACAAATAAATCAAAAAAAATATTCATGATCATGAGTGAGAGAGAGAATCTGATTCTGATTCACCTTGATATGATTTCTGTAAAAATCCTTCACTACAGAATTGGTATAGAAATCGTCCTCTGATGTTATAGACTGCCCTTGGCTTCTAGCCCAGTCCACATACTGTTTTCTGCCTCCAAAGTTGTCATAGTTATTCACCAAACTCAATATCAGCTTAATCCCATGCTTCTTCGCCTCAGATATCGCAAAATCCAAACCCTTTGAGCCAAAAACGGAAACTTTCAGACTCAAATTGAAAAAAAATAAAAAGACTTGATTTTTAATAATGAAACCAAACAAATTATAAAACAAAATGCAAGGAGAATTGAATTCATGGCTAATTAACCTGGAAAGTTTGCTCATTGTAGGAGCCGGGAGAGGACTGTAAAGGCCTGTAACCGCCATCGCTGAAAGCCCAAGTTCTTGCTATGGAGAGGCCATGTTTTGTAGCCTCTTGAAAGGCAGATGATATTTTGCCTCTCTGGGACGGGTCTGTGGCCACGTACATCAACCAGTAGGCATTGAACCCATTCGCATAGTAAGGGATTCCATTCAAGACAAGTTGAAGTCCTCTGGTTTTCACAAACCCATCTTCTGCTTCTACTGGTTTCAAAATTCCTTGATTTTGGATAAGCAGAAGAACAAAGAAAACCACACCCCAACGCTTCATTTTTCTTTCTTCCTGTTTCGCTTCCTCTGTTTGCTCTGTCTCTAATAAATTCAGATTACAAGAAAATGAAAAGAAAGGAAATTTATAATAAACTTGTGGCGGTTTAGAAAGGAAAGTGCACTGTACTGTAGTGTAGCTGTACTTTGCTACAAGTTTCCCAGTTGGATTATTACTTGCGGCTGCAGTTAATTCCTGTCTTCATTTGCTGCTGGAGCAAACAAAAGTGAAAACCCGATCATGCCCTTTCTTTGTGTTGTAATCTATCTATTGAAAGTTAAAACGAGAAAGGGCAGTAACGTCTGACTGGTGTGATTGGACTGGATTTCCATTTCCGAGTGGAATGAGGACGTCCAGTCCCCGACATTATAAAAATCAACACGTCCATGATTATATAAAGTTGCAAGATTACTGTGAATGTTTCAAAACAAGCAGAAGTAAATTTGTAAGCAAACCCAACCCAACCTTGGGTAAAACTCGAGAGCCACTGACATGTTGCTCTTACAGTGATGCCAGCACTTTTTCTGTTAAATAATGATGCAGTCATTGTGTCACGGTCGGACTTTAGTGCCATGTTCAAATCCAGTTACGCTAGACCGTGATACATTCCATGATGTGATTCAATTGGCAGAAGACGAGTAAGATAAAAACAAAAGTAGAGACTTTAGTAAAACCTCAGAATTGAATTGATGGGCGAAGGAGGACCAAAGTGCCCTGCCGAAAGAAAAAGCGAAAATCACTTAGCAGACATCACGGCGACGTTTGGTAGGTTAGAACCGTGGTTTAAGGAGGATGGATATGACGACAAATGACGCGTGGTGTTTCCTTATTAATAACAAAATGATCTAACGGATACTAATATGCCACAAGGAGTGAGGGTCCCCATACGACGAAGCTTCTAATCAGATCACATATTTTTGTTGTTTTGATATCTGAGTGAGTTTATAAAATGGATTCAAACACACAATTTTAATTTTATTTAATTGCGAATGCTGCATGCAATGAGCAAAGGCAAAGCAAAGAATATAGAAAAATGAAATTTGGTCCGTTGCTTGCTTGCTTCCCCTTTTGCTAAAATATAAAAAAATATTTTTTATTTATAAAAAAAGTCAGTTTGCATGGGATAGGAACTCAGAAAGCTGCAGGGTTACGTCGGTAAGAGTATTGAAACATACATGTGAAAGCTGCCCCCACGCTTATAGCTTTGCCATCCATTTTGTTAGCTAGCAGCAAATCAATGCACGTGAACCTTAATTAAACAGACAGACAGGCTACTGTGTTTTTATCCCTTTTAACTTTTTTTGTTTTATTCTTTTGCGATAATAAAAACAGTATGGTTTGATAAAATTATAAATGGCCGAAACGCTGGGTGGCTTCATTTACGGGGCGACATGCGCCTTTTACATAGATACTCATGCATGCATGCATGCATGCTTGCTTCGAAACATTTAGAGAGAGAAAAATAAAACAGGCACACACACGTGGTGGAACCGGTAAAAACAAGAAGATTATAATATTTGGTACCTGCCTCAGATTTTAAGGACCCATTTCTGATTTTGGGATTCTGTAACTCCGGTGAAGGTGAATAAGAGGCTATCTATCCTGCAATATCATGTACCCCAACCAACCACCCAATTTTATGTACGGCACGACAGATCCTTTCAAGTCAATACAAACCGGACCACCTATTAAATTTTTGGACTAACATCAAAACACCCCTTTCAGTTTTAGGGTCATTCTCAATATGAACTCCGAGGTATCAATTTCATCAATTTACAACACCCCCAATGTTTTCAAACTTGTCCAATTTTATTCTTTCGTTAAGTTGATTATGTGGTCATTCGTTAACTGCTCACGTGGCCATCGTGAGACCCAACAATTTAAGATTTTTTTACTTAAAAAATAATTTAAAATTTTAGAAATTAATTATCAACCTAACAAAAAAAACGTAAAATTGAATAAAATAAAATAAAACCAAACTTACAATTTTAGAAATTATTTTATTATTTTCAATTTTATGTTTTTTGGTTAGCTTGTATAATTAATTTCTAAACATTTGAAATGATTTTTAAAGTAAAAAAAAAAACTTAAAATTTTGGTTTCTAAGGTAACCACGTCAGTAGCTAATGATTGACCACACAATCAACTTAACAGAAGGATAAAATTGGACAAGTTTGAAAATATTAGGTTGTAAATTGATAAAATTGATACCCCGAGTTCCATATTGAGAATGACATCAAACTTAAAGGGGGTCTTTTGATGTTAGCCTTAAATTTTTATTTTTTATTTTTTTATAAAAAGTAAAAGAAAAAAAGCTTCTTTTGCGATGGCTATTGATTGTCCACTAGACACAAGTTTTGGGCCAATTCTAACTCTATGGACTGAGAGTCAGCCCTCTAGAGAAAACATATGCGCCTTGCTAGCCCCAGGTTTGGTTTATTTTAGCTTTGTTTGGGCCCAGCCATCTAAATCACGACTGTCTTGGTTTTTCCCATAATACATGTAATATTGGGTGATAGAAGAGTCCAACTCATGACCTTGGGTCCGGGATTACTTAAGCTATAAACCTTGTATGAAATTTATGGAGAGGCTAAAATGAGGAAGTTGAGTGATGAGCTTATTTGAGGAGGTGAAATCTCACCATCAACAACTAAAAACAAAGCACATGGGGGGGGTGCATTGGGGGGTCCACACCCCTTTTGATGGTGAGATGAGCCTCCTCAAATAAGCTCCTCACTCAACCTCCTCATTATAGAAGCTACCTGAAATTTATATGTTTTAGTTTACACAAATTTAAAACCCACTATATAATATAGACTTTTGTAGGAATTTTTCTTTGTTAAACTTCAAAATCAAACAGCACAAATCGGAAGTCACCCCACGCTCAGCTATTGAGTGCATAGTCCAAGCCCAACGACCAATTTCATGGGCCATGGGCAACGTAATTTTCAATTTTTGGACTGAATAATCATCTTATTATTGCTATAGAATCTAGATGTGAAATTTTTGTAAATTGTAATACATATCTATATTAACTGTTTTTTATTATTTATTATTTGATTCAACAGAAAACTTGATTGGGATTCTTGTTTTTTATAATTAGAAGTTTCAAGTTGAAGAAAATATGCTCAATATCCATGTTTTATTTTTTATTGTGTTGTATTTATTATAAAAATTAAAAAATGTTTCCTAAGAAACAACTTTCTAGAAATCTCAAGAGACGAAGAAAGAAAAAAAGAAGAAGAAATTGCTCAAAGTTTAAGAGGATCTTTGAATAAATATATTGTTAAACAAACTAATACTTCACTTGAAAATTTAGATGAAGATTTACCAAATGAATATAAACAACCAATTCAATTGGAAGAATTAGCAGAAAATGAGAATGATGTTAGGAAAGAGTGCCCAAACTGGTTGTTGAAAAGATGGGCTTTGACTTTGATTTGGGTGGTATGATAGGAGAGAGAATGAGTATGACTATGAGATTGATTCGTCCGGGGTGTAATTACCACCGACCAAAAAAGAACATTGCCCACAACAACAAGCACTCTCTCTCACCACACCACACTTTTTTGGAGATACAATTACATACAGCAAAATTTATGACTCAATTCAAATCTATCGCCAAATTAATTTAGTATAAATGTATATTATTGAGAGGGAGGAGAGTTGAGTAGCTAAAACAAAGCGAGAAATGAATCAACTACCACGCACGTGCACCAAACGTTAGGAAACCACGTGATGACTCGGAAGCTGAGCTGAAACAGAAAAACCGGGTGTTGGGCTGCTAACTGTTAGCTGGAGTCGTACGAAACTCCAACTTGTGAGTCCCCCCATTAGAAAGTATTTATAGGATACAAGTTTGGGAAAGTTGAGCATCGACTTTTGTTCCTTTTTGTCTATATAATTTGAATAAGCAAGCCAGCCAAGCACCACATACTTGATTTGATTCAAATATGGGATCACAGTCTGAATCTGTTTGTGTGACGGGCGCTTCCGGTTTCATCGGCTCATGGCTCGTCATGAGACTCTTAGAGCGCGGTTACACTGTTCGAGCCACCGTGCGAGACCCTGGTCCGTCTTCCCTTCCCTACAATTTATTCGTTTTTCACTTTATTTTATTCATATTGCTTTCGACTTAATGATTCGTGATTAATATTTTTTGTTTGTAACAGCGAATCAGAAGAAGGTGAAGCATCTGCTGGACTTGCCAAAGGCCGAGACGCACTTGACGCTGTGGAAGGCTGACCTGGCCGACGAGGGAAGCTTTGATGAAGCCATTCAAGGCTGCACCGGAGTGTTCCATGTCGCCACTCCTATGGATTTTGAGTCCAAAGACCCCGAGGTATGCATTAGCCTTATTTCTTATGTCTCATCATAATTTCAATTAAAAATGGAGGATGGCGACGGCGGCGTTAATGGTATAGCCGGAATTAGGATTAGAGCATTTGGAGATATAAATAATGCAATTAGGCAGCAGACCAAGTCTTTTCTTGTCATTTTTCTTTCATTTGTTTCAGACAGGACAAGTCAGTGGTCAGTGGTCAGTGGTCAATGGTTATATTATATAATTTAAATTTACTATTTTGTTCTTGATGGCCCTAGATGACATTATACTAAAATGAAGAGAAAATTAAACAAAGTTAAAACAAGTTGTGGTTTGGCAGAACGAAGTGATCAAGCCAACAATAAATGGGGTGCTAGACATCATGAAGGCATGCCTCAAGGCAAAGACAGTTCGAAGGCTGGTGTTTACATCCTCTGCAGGAACCGTGAACGTCGAAGAGCACCAGAGGCCATCCTACGACGAAACCAACTGGAGCGATGTTGAATTTTGCCGCTCTGTCAAAATGACTGGTTGGGTAAGCAATTAAACACATGAATATAATAACTACATCCATTGTTTAACTTCAAAAACATGTTAATCAAATCGTTAATTCTGGATTTGATGTAATGGTGTATTCTCCTCAGATGTACTTCGTCTCCAAGACTCTAGCTGAGCAAGCTGCATGGAAGTTTGCCAAAGAAAACAACATTGATTTCATTACCATTATCCCAACTCTTGTGATTGGCCCATTTCTCATGTCATCCATGCCACCAAGCCTCATCACCGGACTTTCCCCACTCACTGGTACCCCCAAAAAAAAATTATTTATTTTGCAATTTTTTAAAATTATTAGTGTTCATGAATTAACCAAATATTGCTTAATTATTACAGGAAATACATCTCATTATTCGATTATAAAGCGGGGGCAGTTCGTTCACTTGGACGACCTCTGCCTCTCTCACATATACTTGTACGAGCACCCTAAAGCAGAGGGCCGCTACATTTGTTCTTCACATGATGCTACAATTTACGACATTGCAAAATTGCTGAGAGAAAAATACCCCGAGTACAATATTCCCACAAAGTAATTAACTAAACCCTTCAACATCAATTGATTAATTATTGTTAATTACATATATAATTGAATTTAACTAAATTGAGAGTTGGACCAATTGGTTTGCACGTGCAGGTTCGATAACATTGAGGAGAACTTGACCAAAGTCCATTTTTCTTCAAAGAAGTTGACGGACCAAGGGTTTGAGTTCAAATACAGCTTGGAGGACATGTTCGTAGGGGCTGTTGATACCTGCAGGGCAAAGGGTTTGATCCCAATTCCTGCTGAGAAACATGAGGCTGACGACAACACCGTCGTCGATGTCAAAGTCGCCGGTTAAGAAAAAAACATTGATCAATAGTTGAGGTTTACATTTTGTGTCATGGATTAGTGTCTGTTGGGTTCTTTTTTTGCCGGTGGTGTTTTTCTGGCTGGAGTTGATCTCTGTTGTTAAAGGGCTTCAAATAAAACTTTATTGGGTTTGTGTATGCAAATGTGGCTATGTAGAAAAGTTAATCTGCAATTAACTATGATCCAATCTGGCTATATATTAATTAAAAAGTATGCCACTCATTGTCCAGAATGAAATGATATTGAGGATATTTTGTATTCAGTTGCTTGGTTGAATGAGTGTGAAATGTTTGCCTTTGCTTTTTATTTTTTTTTAACCAAATTTGTGTATGATTTGATTTGACTTGTGGGACCAAAGTTATTTGTGTAAATGCACGAGCTAAACGAACGTCTATTGAAGATTTCCTAATTCGTTTAAATCTTATATACACAAGGGGCAACACAAAGCATTCATATGAAAATTTAGATTTACTATTGATAGTTATTTCATTTTGTTCTAATGGGATCCCATCAACCACTAAGGCATTGTTTGGTGAGCTGGACTGGACTGGATATTTTCAATTAAAATGGACATAGGTTCAACCACTAAGTGTATCTCAGACTGGATATGGGCATGCAATTCATGTCCCAAATAGCTATGGCTCTAGAACTCAAGCCCATATGCGGGTTTAGAATCCGAGGCTTTTCCAAGCACACCTCTTCTCTCTTCTCTCGGCAAGACCGAGCAGTTGAGCACGGCGAGACTGAGCAATAAGCACGCCTCTTCTCAAGTTATTCTCTTCTCTATCTTCCCCTCTCTCCTCTTCTCCTCTTCTCTCTTCTTCTCTCTCCTCTCTCTTCCCCTCTATCTTCTATATTCTCCTCTTCTCTGACAATTTGAAAGAACTCCTTTTTCGATTTTGTTGTTAGATATTGAGATGTGTTGACGATGTTGAGTGCCTTGATTTTTTTTTCTTTTTGGGTTTGATTTCTTTTCGGTTTTTTCCCCCTTTTCATTGGAGATTTTTTCAGATATGGTATTGGGGTTCCATAATTTGCATAATTCCTTCTTCTTCCTTTTTTTTTTCTTCTGAATGTTTTTTTTTTCAGTTTGTATTTAAATGAATTTGAAAGTTATTCCATTGATTTTTTTTCTTTTGTTTCAAATTACAATTTCTTTTTGGCTAACTACAATTTATTTATCCCTTGTAATTATCTTCTTATAAAATTTAAATAATAGAAAAAGGGTTCTGATAAAGAAAAAAAAGAAAAAAAAAAGAAGATGATTTTATTTGATAAAGAGATTATTTTTAGTTGATAAAGAAAGATACTGGAAAAAAAAATTCTAACAAAATAGAGAATTTTTTTAAATCTTGATATGAGTTATCTTCTTCGTTTGATTTGGATTTGGAAAAAAAAATTCTGACAAAATAGAGAATTTTTTTAAATCTTGATAATGAGTTATCTTCTTCGTTTGATTTGGATTTTGCATCTGGTTATAGTCTTTTTGCAAAAATTTGAGGGGTTTTCTTCGATTTGAGGAAAAAAGTTGGAATTATTGTTAATAAAAAAACATTAAAATAAAATTTTGATTTATTAAAAAAAAAAAGTTAATTTCAGTCTGTTGTTTGATGCAAGAATGAATAGGACATTACTCAAAACCTAGGCAATCCAATGCTTTAAAGCCCATCTTAATCAGTCCAAGCCAGCCCACCAAACAAGGCCTAAATTTACGGCCCGTTTAATTCAAGGTTTAAGAGCTTGAGAATATATTTCAAATTGCATTTCCACGTTTAGTTAGTTCACTCTTGGGAATGCAATTCTGGACTTATAGACCCCATTTGGTTCATGGGAAAGGAGGCTTGGGGATGAGAAATCAATTGATTTCCCATGTTTGGTAAGTCCAGACATGGGAAATCATTACCTTGCACATGAGAAAGTAGAGGGTAAAGTGAAGCCCTCCTCCCCCTTGGGTTTTGTTTTCCTCCTCATCAGAAAGTATGGGAAAATGAGCCAATATTAAATACATATTTTTCACCACCATATTGTCCCCATTAATAATTTAGAATTACAATATAGCATTAAATGCATTCTTTTTTTATTTGATTTCATATGGGTATAATTGGAAAATTAAACAAACTTTGTTTTACATTCCTACACAAACTAAACACGTGAAACGTGAAAGGAAATAAAGTAGTATTTCTTGGTTACTTTATCAGGATTACCAAATATGAGAAAGGAGTCTCCATTTCTCATTTCTTGGGAAATGACATGAGAAGTGATTTCCCCTCAAATCCGTTTTGTGAACCAAACGGGGCCATAGGGTATGAACTACCCATATATAGGGAACTTCATACCCTTGGCTCATTTTGGGAAACTTTTTCTCCCCATTTGGGAAGAACTCACCCATGTTATTATTTTTAAATACCATTTTTGACCATTACAACTCTTCATATTTATAACTTTTAATAATAATAATAAAACAAAAGTATTGTTGGAAAAACTGAACCACTTTTCATTTCTAATACTGTACTAACCTAACATGGGAATGAGAGAAAATGATATTTTCTAGTACTCATTTCCAAGCGTTCCCAAATATGGGAATGAATATTCATTCTCATCTCGTGGGATTAGACATGGGAAGTTTATTCCCAAGAAATACGAACCAAACGAGTCTTATTTTTTTGCAAAACGACACTATAATTATGAGACTATCCTTTCTTTTGGGATGAGGGGGAATGAAAAATGAAGCTATAAATTATAAGGGGATCATATGTTGTCTGAGTGATTAGATTCATAAGTCAATTGAGTTTTAAAGTCCATTTTCAATTAACAAATAAGCAAGAAGTGCACAAGGTTGTTTGTGCCTAATAAATCACGGCCATGATCTGGATGAAGGAGCCCCTTTTTCTCGGCCCTGGCACTTGCTCGTAAAACTGAAACGCAGTGTTTCACCAAGGTACTTTGCCTTCCTGGAGACAAAAGAAAAACGTTACGGCATGTTCATCTCGGCCTCAGTTGCGGGCCGAGGCCGAGGCCGAGCAAAATCGCGGCCAGAAATATTAAAGTCAGATCATCACGTGATAGTAGGGACCCATGCTTCATTTAATGAAGTAGTGCCTGTTTAATGCAGCAAACCCACTGGCCACAAATAAGCATTTAATGCACGAGGGAATGTGGGAAGTGACTGAAGTCAGGTTTTGGCGACAGAAGACAGAGTGATTAGACGTAGACATTCTCACAAGAATCCTTGCAGCTTGAGAGAAAAGATCACCAACTATCAGAGCAATAAATGCGTCTCCACGGCCAGAAGCTCAAAACCCACGATCAAGAGCGGCGGCCGAGATTCACCGGGATTTATGGGGTCACACCACCATACTTCACGATCCCAAATGTCGATTGGACTACCCACTTGCTCTAATCAGGCTCCACCATGCAGATTTTCAGCCTCGATTACGCATATCTTCTCGGCCCGGAACTCCAGGCCGTGAGATTTGGGCGGCAGACAAAGGTAAGGTAATTTAGAGGTGATTTTAGATTGCAAAAAGTATGTGATTTTAGATTACAAAATCATTGCTCTTAAATATTTTGTTAGTCACATAGAACGTGGCATGAGAGCATTTTCACTAAACCCCCAGTCCAAGCAAGAAGGGGTCTAGGCCTTCAAGCCGTTTCTAGCAATATAAAACAGCCCATGCAAGGTGTGGGCTCCACCAAGCTCTAGCAAGCCCAAAGACAAAAACAATCCGAGCTGTTGTTTGAGGGCTGTGATGTTTACAACGAAAATTTTAAAAATAAAAAATTCTGGAAAAATAACAAAATTTTAGAATTTTTTATATATAAATACATGGCCAAACTCTATACAAATTCATCTCCTCATATCTCATGTGAATAGTGGTTGCCTTTGTGTTGCCATGACAATGGGTGGAAAACAAACAAAAAAATTGCTAGGGCAGATACTATTCATATGAATAATAACAACTCTTGTCTCCCCTTACCTTTTGCCATGGCAAATGGATGGAAATGCTGTGATAATATAATGTTGTTGGTGCTGGTTATGGTGGGAATTTTGTTTGTTTGGAGGGGGTATATGTAATTTCCGTTAAAAAATATTATGGTATAAATCCCTGTGGTTGTTTTGGGTCTCTTGCCGTCGTGGTTATAAGAAAAATCCCTGAAATTGAAATAAAGCACATACGCTAAGCTCGATTGTTCCCACCAAAAGCAAATGGCGGCGATTTCTTCTCACCTTTTGGTCCGATCAGACAAACTCTCTCTTTCCTCTCCGTTTTCTTCTTTCTCTGGCCAGAATCTCCGGCGATCGCCTCGATTTTCCGGCAAGTTCACCAGCATTTCCGTGTCTTCTCCGGCGACACTCCCAAAAATTTCGTGCCAGACCTCCTCTGCTACTTCTGCACCTTCGTCCCTAGACAATGGAACAGGTCAATGCTCGTCTCTGGTTCTTAATCTGACTGTTTACTAGCTTAAGTAAAAGATAATCGCTGTGCTTTCGCTTGATACACTTAAATTAAGGGTTTAGACACTGTGTTGAAACAATTTTGTAAAAATGTGATACACATAGCAATAGTACATTGATTGAATTATGATTTGGGATTTATTCATACTCGAAAATAATGAAATGGTGGTGTTCTTGGATAATATAGGCATCTAAGTGTACCCGGTGAGTGAATATCAAATTGGTTGGAAATTAGGGTTTTTGGTTGAAAATTAGACATGACGCAACTGGAACTGCGTGGCTTATAAGAAATTTTCCAATATTATGTGAGTGATTGTGTAGCCACATTTGTATTAATCAAAGAGCCACATTTGAGATGAATGGATGACTGCGGTAACTTGATGCCAGAATGATACTTCAAAACAAATTATAGCATGATCTTATGGCTCAGGAATATCAGTTGTCTTCTGACTCCCCCCTTTCCCTGTTTATTTATTTTCCAGCAAAAGCAGAAATGAAGGATTTTCTGCACATAAGTGATTTTGACAAATCTACCATTTTAAAGATCTTAGATCGAGCTGTGGAGGTCAAGGCACTTCTAAAATCAGGAGAGAGGACATATCTCCCATTTAAGGGGAAGACTATGGCTATGATCTTTGCAAAGCCATCTATGAGAACACGTGTTTCATTTGAGACCGGGTTTTTCTTGCTAGGAGGTCATGCAATATACTTAGGACCTAATGATATTCAGATGGGTAAGCGGGAGGA